TACCACAGTTTAACCTAAAATTCCTGTAACAGATATCTTCTCTATAATTCTACTTACGCAGAAGAAGCTGGATCAAGAGCTACTTCCGCTGATTCTGGCGGAAGTAGAGCACGAAGGCGATCTGGAAGAAAGGAGGTACCACTGAGAAATTTCTACCAACTTGAAGTAAAAGATAACTACAATCTGTCAGAGGATGTGAAAATAAGCCACCGAGGGATAGCCCTTGGAAATCCAGAAAACTTTCTCCAGGCGCTCATTTACACAACTCGAAAAAACTAAGCTACCATTAATGTTAAAAATTCCGTATACAAAAAAAGAAAAAAGAAAATCCCGTTCGCGCAGGAGGAGCTCAAGATGTACAAGTATAAAACTAGCGTGATAAAACAGCCGACACTTCGCGAAGTCACCACTGGTTTCTGGTAGCGTCACGAAAAACGGCTGTTTTATAGCGTAATATGCAATCAAATCTGGCCACCCAACGATTTCAACCGTTTCAACCGATTCTTGAATTGGATGAAAAAAGTTAACCAACCAGAAATACTTTTCTTTATTTCAAAGGTCCAAGTTGCTCAGGGCAACAGCGTATAACGCAATTTACCAGGAGAGCGCTGTCGGTTTTTCTTAAGACTTATCTTCTACATAATGATTTATCTGCTGGATAGCGCCGTCAGCTTTTGAAAAACTGGAACGAAAACACCCAACTAATCAAAATGGGATACTCCCAAAAGAACAATTCTATAGTAACTATTGTGACATGATCAGCAGAACACAAACTGACCTGCCATGTCCTTTTGCGCGTCACTGATGACTTGAGTCTGTGAACTGGAGCAGCGAGCTGTCATGTTCCTTCCCAGTCCTCTCTCTAGGTGGCTATACAACTCCTTGAAGGTACCAAAGAAAAGCCACGTGAACAACAAGCACAACCTCGTTATCAAGGGAAGAAGAGAGAGCCTGGGATCAAGCCTCCAACAAGTATTCACAAGCACTCATATTCATTCAAAGCAGTTAGTTATTAAATGTAAAGGCTTAACTATCAGACTAGTTTAGCCGGTAGGGACAAGACCTTGTGGCATTAAACAGAGTGCTACTCCCATTTTTAGGCTATGGGGGGTGGGGGGCTTATTTTAGATGGAGGTTATTTGAGTTAGCAAAACGGGGTGTTAAACTGCTTTTCTAAATAACTAGGAAGTAATCTAGAAGGTGGTATCAATACCATAAAGATCTAGAACGCAGAGTGGAAAAGCTTCAGCACATGAAGTTGGAGGATTCAAAAAATCTGAATTTCCAGCACGTAAAATTTGAAGCGTTACAGTCGTGACTGATTACTACAGTGTATCACTGATTTATTTGGTTGTCAATAAAAGGGGTATGGGGGCTTTAAGAGAGAGGGGAAGGGGCTTAATAGCTTTCTTCCCCTGAAAATGGGGTCTAATGTGTGTGGGGGGAGGGGGAGGGCTTCAAAGAGGATTTACGGTTTTTAGTGAGAAGATTTCTTTTGGGAGGGGGAGGGTGGAAAACACATGCAATACTTCTACATGAGCGCATTCAATACGNGAATACAAAAAAGCTGAATTTCAGGTACGTAAAATTTGAAGCGTTAAAGTCGTGACTGATTACTACAGTGTTTCATTGATTTATTTGGTTGGAAAAAAAAGGGGTATGGGGGCTTTAAGGGAGAGGGGAAGGGGCTTAATAGCTTTCTTCCCCTGAAAATGGGGTCTAATGTGTGGGGGGGGAGGGGGAGGGCTTCAAAGAGGATTTACGGTTTTTAGTGAGAAGATTTCTTTTGGGAGGGGGAGGGTGGAAAACACATGCAATACTTCTACATGAGCGCATTCAATACGGACATAGTCTTTCAGGGTAACATAAAAATTGCTCTAAGAGAAGAACCTTGACAGTGGTTAAACCACACAACGAACCTTTTTGTAAGTTTTAAGAAAGCCAGGATGAGGGTGAAAAGGATGATCAAACTCATTCACAAGCAATCCTAATCGCCCAATCTCTTCCGTCATAGCCTCTGTTACCTACAGTTATGGCAACGGATATAAGTTAGATATTTTATACTAATATGTATGTTATACACTGAAAGTTTATTCATACAACTGTACACGTGAGCCTTTTATTTACAAACAGTTCAAGGATTAATGTGCCTCTATAAACACTTGGTTATACCCGGCAGCAGCTCTGTAGACTGATCTATTCATCGCCGTTTCGTCCACAAGACGTTTCGCAAACGTCGGGGAAGGAGCGCCATTTCCACGTGACGTGCTTCGCTCAAAAAACGCCTCTGCTCAAGCTTCCAAATTCAAAGTTACATTATAGTTCACCTGTCCTTCCACTTTGGTGGTGATTTCCTTGATGTGCCTCTTGGCATCGTGACTGTACATCTCTAACTGCTCCTTGATATATTCCAGGCGATCCTCTTGCTCTTTCTTGGCTTTTTCAAGTCTTGTTCTGTGCAATAAAAAGACTCTTAATTTACACCTGGTGATCTTGGGTCATATCAGGATTATAATACTGGGAGCAGATGCTGGGTAGTAAAACATTATATTTTAACTTTAACTTTAATAACTTTTCAGTTACGAAAAAACTACAAGGAACTAATGTATTTAAAAAACAGGGGGAAACCTCAAACAGGATTTAGCAATCCCTAACAACGAGGTCACCAAAAGTGAATAACATACTTATGAGTTTGCAAATGTAGAATTAATTGGTGGAGGTAATCATCTTCGGGCCTGTTTACATGGAGGTGGGGGACCCCAGGTAGGTGAGGTAACCCGCTTAGGTGGGGTAACCCGCCTGTCCATATAATCTCTCATTTTGATTTGATCACGTTTACATGATAGGTGGGGTGACCCGTCACATGTTACCTCACCTACCTAGGGTCTCCCACCTCCATGTAAACAGGCCCTAAGAAACAATGAACTGACAAACACATTGTGTTAATTACAGACAGCTATAGTTGCTTAATTCATCGTTGTGGAATAAAGGACTACAAGGGAGTTCTGTAATCACAAGTCCTTTGTGAACTGGGTCTTATGAAAATACCGTTGAATCGCCATTAAACAGCCCCCCTCCGGGTACCTGCGAATGGTTGCTCAATGGAGGTTGGCCACTTAATATGGGTTTACCATATATTAGCATAATCATTAGCAGAAACATCACTTTATTGCGAAACAAACGAACGACAGGAGAAGTATTACTGGTCCACAAACGTCAGCTCCCATCTCGAACAGTATTTTCTTTCATCAAATTCTTGAAATGAAGCCAAACTAAAAATATCAAGCACTTGATAGCTGCTTCACAGAGGTGACAAAAGTGTGAGAACTCTCATTGGGATGGCCAAAAGGTAGCCGCGGCCGCTTAACCCTAGGATGTACGCTTAAAGTCAGTCATACCCCCACTGTGGTGCGGGGGGGGGGGAGTTGATGGACCCCCCTTGAGGCTTTGATATGTTGCAGTAAATATTTCGAAATGATTTTTTACTTTTGTTGTTGAAAAAAGTTGAAAAAACATGCATTTTCACTCAGAAAGGGCTTGACCACCTGCTACTATCGTAATCATAGTGACTGACCATCACTAAACTTGTCTCAGAATGCATGCAAGCAGGAGCTTAGGCTCCTGACACAAGGGGTAAACAAACACCCACAGAAAACTTCAGGTGCTGAATGTTTTATCTTCTAGGGAAACAATCAGAAAAACCTTAGGGGGTGGCAATCACCTCCCTCCCCCCCAACTCCGCCTTGTATGCCCAAGGGTTAATAGAGGTTGAATTTCCCATTTTTTCCTACAATTATTCCTGGACTTTGGTTACCGGCCGCTTAATAGAGGGTTGCCTCTTGATATATGCCCACTTAATGGAGGTTCAACTGTAATTATTGCAAAAGAACAACCCCAAGAGATAAAAGGTAGCTAACCTCTGCTGGAAAGCGCAACCAACAATTTGCTCCATGATCACCTTTACTGTTTGAGCAACCTTGAGTCCACTGACAGCATGAGATTCAAACTTGGTTTGGATGGCTGATTTGGAAATACACTCCTGTGAGGTAGTAGAAAAATTAAATCTTAGGACGTGTTTACAAGGAGGGAGGGTAACCACGGCGTAAGAGTTACCCTTGCAACATAGACCAGAGCTATCGCACCCTAATGCCAGAGACTTTTCATGCAAGGTTTGCAGTTTTAGTCAGTTATTCACAGATGTGTTGGCCTGTGGACAACCCTGAAGTATCTCCGCCACACTCAATCACCACACACAAGAAACAACCTCAGGTACCAAGGGTAGAGCTAACGTTAACGTGCTTGCTGGGGTAACCCTTGTGCAAGGGTTACCCTCTTTCCTTGTAAACAGGCTCTCAGTGTTTTAAAGTCAAGCATTGTTGTATAATTACATTTCCCCTTTTGGTAATACAACAATACCATTCATTGGTTCTACGTGATGGAAAACTAGACAGCTTCATGTCCTTCTCAACCAGATAAAAAAAACATTATTTTTTCTGGATCAATTGGTTCAAATCACAGACCTCTATTCCATGATAAAAACCCTTCCGCAAAAGTATACTATGAATTTTGTCATTTGCAAATTTGTCATTTGACGATACTGTTAAAGTCACAACATTTTACCTCAAACTTGCGCTCAAAGTTTTCAAACTCAAGTTGTCTTGCAGGGAATCCTTCAACATGTATAGCACCTCCTACAAGTAAAACATTTTACATGTGAATCTATTCTCTATTTTCGAATTCCCCATAATACACTCTGTTTGCCCCCCAAATTTTGCATAAACCATTGTTTTTAAATGCTCCTGGGAGTATTGCATTTTCCCAAGAGCATTTTAAGACAATAAGTTATGCAAAATTTGGGGGGCAGACAGAGTGTATTATGGGGGATTCGAAAATAGTCAATGGAGTCTTACAAAGACATAATGCCTTATTTACATTTTAGCAGATAATATATACAAGGATAATATTTGCTTGTTACTGTTCAAGCAGCATACATGTGCAGCAGAGTGCCTGAAGCTTACAAACCTGTTTTACTTCATTTCATTAAGAGCTAGCCTGGAACCAGGCCCCACATTGGGAGAAAAAGGAGAAAAAAATCACGTGGGCGAAAAAAAAAGAATTGGCAAGCGAAGCCAGCTGAGAGGTAGTCTGGGGAGGAGAAAGGGTGGGGTCCACCGCTTGGCTCACTTCAGTCGCCTATATTTTTTCTATTTGACCCTATTTTTTCCCTTTTTCCCCCACTGTGGAGCCTGGTCCCAGGCTAATTTAACAATTATTGCATTCAGTGGCAAACATGCAAACCTAGGACCAAGCACTCACACAAAATACTTGCTATACTGTAATATTGAACAAGGCTGTCAACCTCAAGTAAGAGCAACAGCTCGGCGCCCAAAACCTCTACTGTTAATCCCTTGAAAATCACACTGACACACAGCTACATTTCAAGTGAATATTATTGATTATGCGTACCTCCTTGGGGCATTCCTTGATGTTTCTGCATTCTTGTCATCAATGTCTACAACAAAAGAAAAAAATCTGTAAAATGCATCGGCCTCACTATATGTGATGTGAACAGGTAGAGCTATTGGCCAAGGACAATCAGTGACTGCCAAAAGCCTGCCCGCTGATATTATCAAACTAACAGAGTTTTTTTCATTTGGCTTTGAACTTCACCCAGACAACCATTTTAATTTTTTGCCTGTTTCTTTCTTTTTTGGGGGGGGGGGATCTCTTATTTAGCACAATACCCACTTTTGTATGGTATTCCATGTTACTTGAAACCTGTCCTAGTAATAATTTTGCAGAGTTGTTTTCATGTCAACATCAATAACAATGGCATATTCATCGAATTAATATTTTGTGCTACTGGTACCTCTTTGGCAGAGACAAAGAACACCCTATCCTCAGCCTGAGCTCTGTCAACACACTTCAGCTCATCAACCAAGAAACTAATGTTCCTTTCAAGATGTTGATTTTTCACCTACATCAAAGGGAACAAAAAGGATACATGTACAGTGACAAAATTACGGTTAAATTTACAAAACTTTGCGCAAAAATGGCATCATAGTGACAGAACATTAGGGAGCTTAAGCAATACTGACGGCGACAGCAACAAGAACACCAAAAAGCAATGGGTTTAGATTAGCAAAACAACAATTTGCCACTTTTTTTGTAAATTCCTTTGCTTTTGTTGCACGACTACAATGTGAAAGTGCCTCAATTTACTTTTTGTCAAAGATGGGAACACAAGACAACAACTTTCTTTTTCCTTTCCTGAAGTTTGATACAGTCCTTTAGAATTCAACCCCAAAAACATTTGCCAACATTTGATGAAGTAAATGAGATGGAATAAGTGCGATAAAGTTTGAAGCAGTGCGAATTCACTTTTTAAGTGACGTTTTCGTAGCCGTCACCATTGTTGTTGCTTAAGCTCTCTACTATCAACCCCAAGAGGGATCACTGAAAACTCCAAGGGGGAGGAGGGTCTTAAAGGCCAAAATTTTAAAAGGGATGTATAAACCTGAACTGAAATTTCCAGGGAGGAGAGAGAGTTCAAAACAAAAAAATCCTCAGCTGGGGAGAGATGTACAGATATTTGTTTTTCAAACATTTTTTGCAACACCGTAAGTTGCAAAAATCTTAGTCACCATGGCAACTAAAATGTTGGTAGCGCCAACTTGATTTGAAAAATTAATAGTCAATAAGTTGGTAACCCGAGAGAATTATTGGTTCGTAAAGAAACAAAAAAATTAATCAGTTCTACTGAAATATGATCTGATTCTCTTGGCTGCAACCCAAAGAGATGGCTGCCAACTAGCCACTAAATTATTTTACCTACAATGTAGGAGGGTTGCATTTTGAAGGAAACATGAGGGGAGACTGCTTAAAGTGCTCAGTCTTATGTAAAGTGTCCTTTACTAATGATACTGACCAGTTCCATTGTGTCTGGTTCCGATGCCGATGCATCCCATCTGTTGTTAAGGATGAAGATGTTTGGACGTGACAGCCGTTGATTGACTTTGTGAAAGAAATTCTTTTCCTACAAAACAATAAGCAAAAGATATGACTCTGGTTCTGTGCAGAGAGGGGCACTTGCAAAGAGTTTGACTAAAGTACATTGTAATTCTAAAATAGTTCTTAAGATGGCAATTTATGAACACCTTTCTTTAATTGTTTTGTAAACCTTGTTGTAATTCAGGAGCCTTCTCCTTCAAGTTGTTAAGGTGAATCAACTATCTATCTATCCATCTATCTATCAAATGTTCTTGGGCAAAAAATTAGGTATTATTGGGCAAATAGATCTAACTATTGATACTGTAGTATGTTGCAGTTAAAATTTCTCTTTGGTTTGAAAATAATATTTCACGACATTCTTGTGCCTTTGTCTCAGATAATAATATTTAACAGATCCGAGATAAAGCAAGATGCATTAAAAAAAATCAATCAATCAACCCATAATAAAATAAAATTAATGATCAATATTATCGTGTGGGTGAAAAGTTACTTCCTGGTTGTCTAGCAAAAGGTGTATGGCAGGGATGCCACTATGATTTCAAGTTGCCAGGTATAAAGAATTGGCAGGGAATCAAACAGCTAGGGATTTCTTTTGATTCTATTTTTCTTCTATTTTCCAGGAAAAGTAGCCTGGGGCCACACTCATAACAGCCACGGGAAATCCCCCGCCCCCAGCTCTCAGTGACAGCCCTGTGTATCGTAACAAGAAAAAGTCGTAATGCAGTCTCGCAGCAGATGGGAGTGTCGAGGTGCCCTGGTCCCCCCACCCACTTCTAAAAAGACCCACTGATTTGAAGAACATAAAATTATAAAATAATTATAGACGTATCTACATATTTGAAGTTCTCAGGATAACAGCAAGTTGGGGTGGAAATACTAAGACCTGTAATCACTGTGTGCATCTGATTTGTAACCTAATAAGTGTATTCTGTTCAAACTTACGGTAACCATGAGAGTGGACTCAGCATTAGCAACCAGCACAAACACATCCGCATCCAGACAGTGCTTATCAATCCACAGGTCTAGATCAGGGCTGACATCAATTCCAGGACTAAAAGGCAAGCAGAGTTTATTACTGTTTACGTTTTTATTGGAGCTAGAAAAACCAGTCATGTTTCTAAGTGTGGCATATAAGCTATTTCTGGTTTTAAAAGATGGTGAAAGGCACAGTAAATGAAGTGATGACATTAACCAGCTTCTTCTCTTAAGATAAAAAAAATAACATTAATAATGGAGATAACATAGAACATGGTACAATGTATACTAAAGAACAGAAATTATTCAAAGGTTTTTTATTGCACACAGTGAATATTATTGAGTTTGGTATTATTTACTTATTATTTATTGCCACAGAAATTTTAAGCTATCATAAAGTTAGAGTCTGTGAATAAAGCATGGGACAAAGTTCAGTGGCTGGCAGGATATGATTGCACTGTTCGTTCCAGCCAGGACAAAGCAGATATGAAGTAAGTACACTGTAAGTTCCTGACAACAACGTTTGACTTTTTTCTTATATTATTAAAATAACAATGAATGTTAATAAAATGTTTTTTTCCTCAGCTTTTAAATTCTCACCTGTCAACCAGCACAACATCTTCGGACAACATTTTACATCTGAAAGTTGTATTGGTACAACTACATTAATAAAAGACAATAAATAAATAAAAGACACACACACAAAAAAAACAATAACATGACAAACCAAGGAAAACATTTGGCCACAATATTATTATACCTGTAGTGTGGACAGTATGTCAAGTACAATCTATGTACACTTTATTACCAACAAACCTTGATTTTGGCCAGAACACTTGAACAAGGCTACTGTGTTCCAGTTTTTCATCACACAAGGCATGAGCCAGTTGAGATAAAGACTGTTAAGAGGCAACAACATATTCACAGTATTGAACTCATAGACCTTCGCCCTGATGGGTCTGACCTGTCTAGGCAGTTACTTGTTTAAACAAGCAGGTCAAATTACAGGTAAAATTTGATTTCAGATTCATTTTGAATTAACCTTCAGCTGTAGGTTGATTTTCAATTTCCTTTGTCCCCTACCACTGAAGCTCTAGGAGACAAAGAAAATTGAGAGTCACCCTAGGTTGAAAAACTTTCACCTGAAATCACTTTTGACCTGTAACATACTCTTTGCTTGGAAATGACGTTTATAAAATAAAGACATAACTCATGAACTTGAGAAGTAATTTTAGATTTAAAAAAAAATATCACAGCTTTTGACTCTAACTAATTAAGAGCCTATTAATGTCTAGCAGTTTAATGTAATTCAAAACATTAGCTATAAATTTTCCAGAGGTATGTGTACACAGTTTTCTCCAGATGAACCCTAACCCATCTCCTAAGAAGTTTTCTCGAGGGTTACATATTTCCTCAGAAAGGTCAGAGTAGTGGGTTACAGAAAAATTTGTGACTAAGAACCTGGTTTTTAAGAACCTGTTAGGGTAGATTGACCATTAAGCCTCCCTCTATACATGAACCTATTCAGCCTAAAATTTGAAACGGGTTCTTTTCTAAAATCTTGTGCAAATAAGATAAATCAACCTCCAGGATCTATTGGCAACATAGGTGCCTTATCACTCCAACTGCAATGTACTGATGTGCAGATTCTATTTAAGGAATAACCTGAATACCACAATAACAATTATTCCTCGAGCCTGAATCGGCTCTGAGTCAATAGCCCATGAGGCCGAAGGCCAAATGGGCTATTTACTCAGAGGCCATGAGGGCAAAAGGAATAATTGTTTTAGTAAAATCCAACTAGTTGGTCAAAAATATCAAGACAAAACAACTTTAGCTAGTTAAAGCTAGACTTAAGCCTTTTCTGCTGCCAAAAAGCCGGCACTTTGCCCTACTAGTGGGCTATAATATATAGCCTAGTAATAGCTCAACCAATCAGAACGTAGCATTGATAATACACACCTAGTTAGATTTTACTAAACTACTATGATACTATATTTTTTCTTTCAGAAAATAAGAATCTATCTAAGAACCCACATGTAAATAGCCTATATTTGTGCTAATTACCGTTTATGTAAGAACCCATTTAGGCTACATTACAGGTTCTTAGTCACGCATTTTTACTGTAGTGGGCAGATGTATCTCCAGTGTCCCCCTCCTTGATGACATACCTTAACATTCCTCTTATCATTACTCTCTGGTGTTAAAATGTAAGCATCAGGTAAATCTGAACCATGAACACTCAAGAAACAGTTTGTAGTGTGGCCAATACCCATTGGTAATATCTTGTCTTGTAGCATAGCATTCACTGCAGTACTTTTACCATTACTGGTACGGCCAAAGAACGCCACTTTCATCTGGTCTCGAGCTAACACCTCTGATATGCCTGAAACTTGAGCTAGAAAGCCTGACACCTGTTCAAGTATAAATATGACACAATCTTAATATAAGAGAACAACATTTCCTTAATTGAATAACAGTTTATTGTTTTAAATGTTAAAGAAGTTCATCGCAAGAGCAGACTCAACTTTTGCAATTGTGAAATAAAAGCCTGGAATACCAGTGTAGTGCTCTACAAATTAAATTTAGGTAATAAGCCAACTTGGAGCTACTCATTTAGTTGATTTGTTATAAGGAAGGATGAAGATAAAATAATGAATGTTTTAAAATCATATAAATTACAGGAGAAGAATGAAACATAAAGAGGATCATTGCAGTTTCAAATGCAACTTTGGTGCCTGCATCTTTTTCAGGCTTTCTTTTAACAAGTGCAAAAGTTGCATCTGCAACTAGAATGATCTTCTTACACTACACTGCCTACACTGCCTCCTGCAAACAAACAAATACTAGAAAACAGCAGATCTTTTCAAGAACTAAAAGAAGCCAAGTGGTTGGGCATCCATACCATACCACAGAGAGCTTCTATATTTTAACCCCCTCCCCCTCGCCTTCAGAATTTTCAAAGTGGGTCATCCACCATACCCTTGGAATTCAATAATCGTTTCCACCATACAGCTACCTATACATACACATTTGTTTCAAGTGAATCCACCCTGAGTGTGTAGGTAGTTACAAGTTCCTAATAATTGAGACTCTCTTAGGAGGGGGAGGGGGTAAGCATGACATCCCTTAACCCTAATTTGAATTTCAAAAGCAGTCATATCAGGATTGAAGAGGAGGTTGTGTTGCTATCAGTATTATACTATTGTATTTGTGATTTTCCTCGTCGCTGTCGCAGTTTCAATCCATGTTCATGTCGTCTGTTGCCATTTTATCTATCTTATGTCACTATTTCAAGGCTGTCTTACTCGCCGAAATTCAACCCTAACAGGGTCTCTTAAGTCTACAGAAGAGTAAGGGAGTAAGCAAGACGACAAGACACAAAGACATGTTACTAATTAGTTACTGAGCTTCCTTACTTATTCCTTTCTTGAAAGCAGCTAAAAGCCCAATTGTGGGTAATGAGGTACAAAATAGTGTCAGTTGAACCTCTCTACAATGGCCCCCTTGGCGACAGAAGGAAGTGGCCATTCTAGAGAGGTGGCCGTTGACAAGAGGTGACCGTCAGTAGAGGTTTGGACTGTATTTGCTTACTAATAATCATGAAATCTAGTATTCCCGCGAGTGTCGATGAATTAAAAATATTTGTTCACAAATTTAATAAACTTGTGTAATTACGTAAGGTAAGCTCCAAAATTAAAAGGCTTCTTGACATCGATGGCATGATGTATAAAAGTTTAATCCACTGACCTCGCTAGTAAACTTCTTGATCTCTTCGTTACTTTCATCAGCTAAAACACAACCCGATAAAAAGTTGTTACAGTCCTCTAGGTACTTCCCAATGTCACCAAAAGTAGAGTTTATCTTTTGCTTCGCTTTCACGAAGTTGTGCAGAGGGGAAACGCCATTTACACCGTTCATCTCGCCGT